GCTCATTGCAACCTCAAACTCATGGGCTCAATAGATCCTCCTACCTCAGCCTCCCACATAGTTAAGACTACAAGTACACCACCGTATGTGGCTAATGTTTTTTTCTTTTTGTAGAGATAAGGTCTCGCTATGTTGCCCAGGCTTATCTCCAACTCCTGGCCTGATTTCCAACTCAGGTGAGATCCTCTCACCTTGGCCTCTTAAAGTACTAGGATTACAGGTGCAAGCCACTACACCCAGCATCTAATACACATTTTTTTTTTTTTTTTTGAGACAGAGTTTCGCTCTTGTTGCCCAAGCTGGAGTCCAACAGAAGAGTAGAAATGGAGTTTCGCCATGTTAGCCAAGCTGGTCTCAGAACTCCTGACCTCAGGTGATCCCCCTGCCTTAGCCTCTCAAAGTGTTGGGATTACAGGCATGAGCCACCACGCCAGGCCCTAATACACCTTTTAAGATAACTACCCTATTCACATGGACACTTTGACCATGTCCTTAGGAACAAAAGAGTAGAAACAGGCAACAAGTGGCATCTGAGGCAAATGATGCTGGCATTCTGCCATTCCCTATTCATTAACTTCCCTATCTTAATACCCACCTTATTTTCTTAGCTTTTCCAGCCTTCAATCTATGGTGACACCCCCTGGAACAGCCTCTTCTCATTGTCAGTATTTACTAACAAAGCACAGGTTCCACTGCCTAGTGACCTATTCACCACAAACTGTTAACATCATACACAGAGAAAAAAGTCAAAGGGGCCGGGCACGGTGGCTCAAGCCTGTAATCCCAGCACTTTGGGAGGCCGAGGCGGATGGATCACGAGGTCAAGAGATTGAGACCATCCTGGTCAACATGGTGAAACCCCGTCTCTACTAAAAAATAGAAAAAATCAGCTGGGCATGGTGGCGCTTGCCTGTAATCCCAGCTACTCAGGAGGCTGAGGCAGGAGAATTGCCTGAACCCAGGAGGCGGAGGTTGCGGTGAGCCGAGATCACGCCATTGCACTCCAGCCTGGGTAACAAGAGCAAAACTCCGTCTCCAAAAAAAAAAAAAAAAAAAAAGTCAAAGGGTAGCTCTAAAAAGACTTCACCAGGTCCTAGATTTTCTATGGTTGATTTCATGCTCCATTTTTTAAATCCCATTAGAATAACAGCTGTAATTTTGTTGCAGTGCATTCTCACACACAACCAAAACATCATGAGAACTATAAAAACATTGCTCTGGGACCCGGCACAGTGACTCACACCTGTAATCCCAGCACTTTGGAAGGCCAAAGTGGGAGGATGATGAGGTCAGGAGTTCAAGACCAGCCTGACCAATACAGTGAAACCCCGTCTCTACTAAAAATACAAAAATTAGCTGGGTATTGTGGTGCATGCCTGTAATCCCAGCTACTCAGGAGGCTGAGGCAGGACAATCACTTGAACCTGGAGGGTGGAGGTTGCGGTGAGCCGAGACTACGCTATTGCACTCCAGCCTGGGCAACAAGAGCAAAACTTCATCTCAAAAACAAAAAAAAAATTCCTCTGGCCAGGCACAGGTGCTCACATCTATAATCCCAATACTTTGGGAGGCTGAGGTAGGACTGCTTGAGCTCAGGAGTTCGAGACCAGCATGGTCAACACAGCAAGACCTCATTTCTAGTAAAAATCAGGCCAGGGATGGTAGCTCACACCTATGATCCCAGCACTTTGGGAGTCCAAAATAGGTAGATCACCTGACATCAGGAGTTCAAGGCCAGACTGGCCAACATGGTGAAACCCCAACTCTACTAAAAGTGCCAAAATTAGTTGGGTGTGGTGGCGCATGTCTGTAGTCTCAGCTACTTGGGAGGCTGAGGCAGGACAATGGTTTGATCCTGGGAGACAGAGGTTGTAGTGCGCAGAGACCGCTCTACTTCACTCCAGCCCAGGCAACACAGCGAGACTCTGTCGCCCAAAAAATTAAATTAATAAATAAATAAATAAACAAAATAATAAATTAGCTGGGTGCAGTGGTGCAGACCTGTAAGCTGAGGCAGGAGGATCACCTGAGCCCAGGACTTCTAAGCTGCAGTGAGCCACTGCACTCCAGCCTGGGGAACAGAGCCAGACTATCTCAAATTAATAAAAAGAATAAAAATAGCTCTGAGACTCAATACACTTATATAGGCCACTCAGCCATTATTTTTTTTTTTTTTGAGACAAAGTCTCTGTCACCCAGGATAGAGTACAATGGCGCGATCTCAGCTCACTGCAACCTCTGCCTCCCAGGTCCAAGCAATTCTCCTGCCTCATTCTGCCAAGTAGCTGGCGTTACAGGTGCACACCACCACACCCACCTAATTTTTGTATTTTTAGTAGAGATGGGGTATCGCCATATTAGCCAGGCTGGTCTCAAACTCCTGACCTCAGCTGATCTGCCCACTTTGGTCTCCCACAGTGAAGGAATTACAGGCAGGAGTCACAGCGCCAGACCCATTATTTCTACTGATCAAAAATTGGCCACACAAAAACAAAAGCTTTTGTTTTTGCTATATGCCTAGATAAAGAAGTTGAAATGTTTGTTACCTACCTTCGATCTAATTCCATGATCAACACCAAAAGAAAGGAACTTGCTATAAAAAGAAGTCTTTTTTTTTTTTTAAGACGGGGTTTCACCATGTTGGTCCGGCTGGTCTTGAACTCCGAACCTCAGGTGGTTCGTCCGCCTTGGCCTCCAAAGTACTTAGATTACAGGTGTGAGCCACCACGCCTGGCCCAAGAAGTCTCAGAATAAATAATAAATGAATAAATACAATAAAATTTAAAGAAAGGAACTATCACATTTTAAATGGTAGTATGTTTGCATAACTCATGAAAATAAAATCTATCTCTCTGATATTTCCAGAAATCCAAATGGAAAAATGTTTGTGGCCACAAAGGATAAACATACATCCCTCATTTTGTTTTTCTGTGAGAGTCTCTTACTCTGTCACCCAGGCTGGAGTCATGGTTCACTGCAGTCTCAACCTCTCAGGCTCAAGCACTCCTCCTGTCTCAGCCTCCAAGGTAGCTGGGACTACAGGTGCAATCCACCACGCCCAACTAATTTTTTTTTTTTTTGAGACAGAGTCTCACTCTGTCATCCAGGCTGGAGTGCAGTGGTGCAACCTCAGCTCACTGCAACTTCCACCTCCCTCCTTCAAGCGATTCTCCTGTCTTGGCCCCCAAAGTAGCCAGGACTACAGGGGCACACTGTACACCCAGTTAATTTTTTTATTTGTAGCAGAGATGTGGTTTCACCATGTTGGCCAGGCTGGTTTTCTCAAACTCATGACCTAATGTGATCTGCCCACCTCAGCCTCCCAAAGTGCTGGGAATACAGGCATGAGCCACTGTGCCCGGCCCCAACTAATTTTTTCATTTTTCTTTTACACAATCAAGATCTCACTAAATTCACCAGGCTGGTTTCAAACTCTTGCACTCAAGCAATCCTCCTGCCTCACCTTCCCAAAGTGTTGGGATTACAGGTGTGAGTCACTGGGCCTGGCCTACCTCCTTCGTTCTTTTTTTTCCTGAGACGGAGTCTTGCTCTGTCAACCAGGCTGGAGTGCAAGGGCTCAAACTCACCTTACTGCAACCTGCGCCTCCTGCGTTCAAGCCGTTCTCCTCCCACAACCTCAAGTCATTGGGATTACAGGCACGTCCCACCATACCCAGCTAATTTTTGTGTTTTTAATATAGACAGGGTTTCACCATGTTGGCTAGGCTGGTCTCAGACTCCTGACCTTGTGATCCACCCACCTCAGCCTCCCAAAGTGCTGGAATTACAGGCATAAGCCACTGCACCCGACATCTCCTTCACTCTTTTTTTGAGATGGAGTCTTGCTCTGTTGCCCAGGCTAGTACAGTGGTGCAATCTCAGCTCACTACAACCTCCACCTCCTGGGTTCAAGCCATTCTCCTGCCTCAGGCCTCCTGGGATTATAGGCACCCACCACTGTGCCCCGCTAACTTCTGTATCTTTAGTAGAGACAGGGTTTCACCATCTTGGCCAGGCTGGTCTCAAACTCCTGACCTCATGATCCACCCACGTTGGCCTCCCAAAGTGCTGGGATTAAGGCATCAGCCACCGCACCTAGCCACCTCCTTCATTCTTTTTTTTTTTTTGGAGACGGAGTTTCGCTCTTGTTACCCAGGCTGGAGTGCAATGGCGCGATCTCGGCTCACCTCAACCTCCGCCTCCTGGGTTCAGGCAATTCTCCTGCCTCAGCCTCCTGAGTAGCTGGGATTACAGGCACACGCCACCATGCCCAGCTAATTTTTTGTATTTTTAGTAGAGACGGGGTTTCGCCCTGTTGACCAGGATGGTCTTGATCTCTTGACCTCGTGATCCACCCGCCTCGGCCTCCCAAAGTGCTGGGATTACAGGTGTGAGCCACCGCGCCCGGCCCGAACCTCCTTCATTCTTGTAAGAGGTTTACAAAAGTTCTGAAATAATGTAACCAGCCAAGTTAAAAAAAAAAAAAAAATTTATGTTGGTTTGCCAAAGGGACTGAATGCCTAAAATCAGTGAGTGTTTGAAGTTAAACTATACATCCAAAGATGTAGTAAAAAGAATATGACAGTCACTAAAATTCCTGTGTTTTTTTTCCCCATTAAACAAAATCTAACAGAATTATCAATGTAAATTCCTTATGATTCTATTGCCATTATATTTTAACTATGATTAGTCAGTGTAACCTTCAAACTTCTTGAGGCTTTCTTGATTCTGTAACTAGTTAATAAAGTCCAAATATGACCATGTATTTTCATGCTTTCAAAGTATCCAAAATACACTCACTTGATTCCATTTGTTTTTTGGAATCTGTTTAATTACAAAATCTGTTTAATACGCCAAGTCAATATTTGGCCTAAAAATTCTCTCTTACATTATCACATTTGAACAAACGACTGACAGCCCCACAAACCACAACATGAGTGCAGTTCCTAAGTTCCTAAGCTACTCACTGAAGTTTAACGTTTTTGATAAATAGTTCTTACCACTCTGGCTGCTCTCTCCTGAGATTCACATTTCCTGCAAAACCATGGTCCAGTGGGTACTTGAACAATGCCATAGCAAGCTGTTGAAAAATGAAATGTGTTAAAATGTTAAGATTCAAAGAACGATGGAAAAATCAAATACTCTTTCAAAGTGCTATTAATCTACCAGTCACTATTCAAGTAAACTACCTCTTTACAGAGAAGTAAAACATTTTATATACTATTTATCATGTATATAGCTTATTTAATTAAAAAGTAAAAATTTTAAGGCCGGGCACCATGGTTCACACCCAGCACTTTGGGAGGCTGAGGAGGGCGGATCACAAGGTCAGGGCTTCAGGACCAGCCTGACCAACATGGTGAAAACCCATCTCTACTAAAAATACAAAAATTAGCCGGACATGGTGGCATACACCTGTAAGCCCAGCTACTGGAGAAACTGAGGCAGGAGAATCACTTGACCCCCACCATCTAAAAAATAAACAATGTAAAAATTTTAAGCGTAACTCTTTTTTTTTTTTTTTTTTGAGATGGAGTTTCGCTCTTGTTACCCAGGCTGGATGGAGTGCAATGGCGCGATCTCGGCTCACCGCAACCTCCACCTCCTGGGTTCAGGCAATTCTCCTGCCTCAGCCTCCTGAGTAGCTGCGATTACAGGCACGCACCACCATGCCCAGCTAATTTTTTGTAGTTTTAGTAGAGACGGGGTTTCACCATGTTGACCAGGATGGTCTCGATCTCTTGACCTCGTGATCCACCCGCCTCGGCCTTCCAAAGTGCTGGGATTACAGGCTTGAGCCACCGCGCCCGGCGAGTGTAACTCTTTTGTGTTACCTCATCTAAATAAATCGATGCTGGGTGCAGTGGTTCATTCCTGTAATCCCAGCATTTTGGGAGGTCGAGGTGGAAGGGCTGCTCTTCAGCCTAAAAGTTCCAGAACAGTCTGGGCAATACAGTGAGACTCCACAAAACATTTTTTTTTTTTTTTTTTTTTTGAGACGGAGTTTCGCTCTTGTTACCCAGGCTGGAGTGCAATGGCGCGGTCTCAGTTCACCGCAACCTCCGCCTCCTGGGTTCAGGCAATTCTCCTGCCTCAGCCTCCTCAGTAGCTGGGATTACAGGCATGCGCCACCATGTCCAGCTAATTTTTGTTTTTTTTTTTAGTACAGACGGGGTTTCACCATGTTGACCAGGATGGTCTCGATCTCTTGACCTCGTGATCCACCCGCCTCGGCCTCCCAAAGTGCTGGGATTACAGGCGTGAGCCACCCCGCCCGGCCAAACATTTTTTTTTTTTTTTTTTTATTAGGCGGAGCATGGTGCCTTACGTCTGTAATCCCAGCACTTTGGGAGGCCATAGTAGGCAGATCACCTGAGGTCAGGAGGCCGTGGTAGGCAGATCACCTGAGGTCAGGAGTTCAACCCCAGCCTGATCAACATGGAGAAACCCCATCTCTACTAAAAATGCAAAATTAGCTGGGCGTGGTGGCACAAGCCTGTAATCCTATTACTTGGGAGACTGAGGCAGGAGAATCCCTTGAACCCAGGAGGTGGAGGTTGCAGTGAGCCAAGATTGAGCCACTGCCCTCCAGTCTGGGCAACAAGAGTGAAACTCCATCTCAAATGAAAAAAAAAAAATAAGGCCCCCATCGTGGCTCACACCTATAAACCCAACACTCTGGGAGGCTGAGGCAGATGGATCACCTGAGGTCAGGAGTTGGAGATCAGCCTGGCTAACCTAGGCATGGTGGCAGGTGCCTATAATCCCAGCTACTCAGGATGCTGAGTCAGGGTAATCACTGGAACCCAGGAGTGGGAGGTTGCAATGAGCTGAGATCATGCCAGTGCACTCCAGCCTGGGCGACAGAGCGAGACTCCATTCTCAAAAAATAAAACCTTAGCTGGGCATGGTGGCATGTGCCTATAGTCCCAGCTAGCTACTCAGGAGGCTGAGATAGAAGGATCACTTGAGCCTGGGAAATCAAAGCTGCAGTGAGCCATAAACACACCACTGCACTCCAGCCTGGGCAACAGAGTAAGACCCTGCCTCAAAAACAAAAACGTATGTTTATTTGTAAATACATAATGATGTGAATGCTCCAAATAATCTAAGTATACATCACATATCTAATCACAGTCTTGTTTTAAAATTGGTTTTTAAAGTTAATAATTAGCTCAAAACAGAAAATTTTCCAAAACTCTAAAAACACTATTAACCAATAGACTTTCGCATGAGCTTGCTAGGTGGAAATTTGAAAATATCTTAAAGCCGGGCGCGGAGGCTCACGCCTGTAATCCTAGCACTTTGGGAGGCCGAGGCGGGTGGATCATGAGGTCAAGAGATCGTGACCATCCTGGTCAACACAGTGAAACCCCGTCTCTACTAAAAATACAAAAAATTAGCTGGGCATAGTGGCGCGTGCCTGTAATCTCAGCTACACAGGAGGCTGAGACAGGAGAATTGCCTGAACCCAGGAGGCGGAGGTTGCGGTGAGCCGAGATCGCGCCATTGCACTCCAGCCTGGGTAACAAGGGCGAAACTCCGTCCCAAAAAAAAAAAAAAAAAAAGAAAATATCTTAAAGAGTGTAAAGTTTTTAAAGAATATAAATTCAAGTCAGGTGCAGTGGCTCAAGCCTGTAATCCCAGCACTTTGGGAAGCCGAGACTGCCAAAATCACCTGAGGTCTGGAGTTCTAGACCAGCTTTACCAAATTAGAGAAACCCCATCTGTACTAAAAATACAAAATTAGCCAGGTGTGGTGGCACATGCCTATATTCCCAGCTACTCGGAAGGCTGAGGCAAGAAAATCTTGTGAACCCAGGAGGTGGAGGTGGAGGTGGAGGTGGAGGTTTCAGTGAGCCAAGAGAGCACCCTTCCAGGCTAGGAAACAAGAGCGAAACTCTGTCTCAAAAAAAAAAAAAAAAAAAAAAAAAGTTCGAGACCAGCCTGGGCAACATGGTGAAACCCCATCTCTACCAAAAATACAAAATTAGCCAACATGGTTGTCCAGGCCTGTAGTCTTAGCTACTTGGGAGGCTGAAGCAGGACGATAACCTGGGAGGCAAAGGCTGCAGTGAGCTGTAACAGCAGCCTGCATGCCATCCTGAGCAACGTTAAGACCCTGTTTCAAAAAAAATTAAAAAGCCGGGCTCGGTGGCTCACACCTGTAATCCCAGCACTTTGGGAGGCTGAGGCAGGCGAATCACGAGGTCAGGGGTTGAATATACCAGCCTGACCAACATGGTGAAACCCCATCTCTACTTAAAAATACAAAAATTAGGCCAGGCGCGGTGGCTCACGCCTGTAATCCCAACACTTTGGGAGGCCGAGATGGGTGGATCATGAGGTCAGGAGTTCAAGACCAGCCTGGCCAAGATGTTGAAACCTCATCTCTATTTAAAAAAAAAAAAAAAAAGCCGGGCGCGGTGGCTCAAGCCTGTAATCCCAGCACTTTGGGAGGCCGAGGCGGGTGGATCACGAGGTCAAGAGATCCAGACCATCCTGGTCAACATGGTGAAACCCCATCTCTACTAAAAATACAAAAAAATTAGCTGGGCATGGTGGTGCGTGCCTGTAATCCCAGCTACTCAGGAGGCTGAGGCAGGAGAATTGCCTGAACCCAGGAGGTGGAGGTTGCGGTGAGCCGAGATCGCGCCATTGCACTCCCGCCTGGGTAATGAGAGCGAGACTCTGTCTCAAAAAAAAAAAAAAAAATTAGCTGGGCATGGTGGCCTGCACCAGTAATCCCAGCTACTTGGGAAGCTAAGGCAGGAGAATTGCTTGAATCCAAGAGGCGGAGATTGTGGTGAGCCGAGAGCACACTATTGCGCTCCAGGCTGGATGACAGATAGACACTCTATCTCAAAAAAAAAAAAAAAAAAAAAAAGAAAAAGGAAAAGAAAAGAATTCGTAAAATGCATCTGAGTATAAATGTTCTATCAGTCAAAAAACAAGGCATAGGTATCCAAAACACAGCATTAGTGCCCAAAAACTTCTATTTTTATTCAGGTGTACCTCTAGGAAGGAAAATTTAAGATTCAAATGAAAATTTTCTATATTGGGATATAAAAATTATTACCAAATTTGGATAGTTTATCATCCAGTTCATAAGAAATAACCTTCAAAATGCCAATGAACACGGCAATGGAAATATATCAACCTATGACTTTAAAATCGGTATCTGGTTTTGACACGCATTCATGTCTGTCATCCAGTGCTTTGGGAGGCCGAGGCAGGAGGACCGCCTGAGGGCAGGAGTTCAAGACCAGCCTGGACAACATGGCAAAACTCCAGCCTCTACTAAAAAATACAAGAAATTAGCCAGGTTTGCTAGGATGCACCTGTTATCCCAGCTACTGGGGAACCTGAAGCAGAAGAATCGCTTGAACCCAGGAGGCGGAGGTTGCAGTGAGCCCAGATCATGCCACTGCACTACACAGCCTGGATGACAGAGCAAGACTCTTATCTCGAAAAAAGAAAAAGTAAAAACAAAAATGTCTGGGAATTACAGCATTCTCAGGGTACGTTAGTTCACTACCTCAGAATCATCACCAGTGCATCTAAGTCTCTCTTCCCAAGTGTGACGTTACTTTCTCTACAAAATGCACTTTAGCACATATTCAAATTTTTCTGTCTCCCCTTTGGTAGTAGTCCTTTCCAACAGACTAAAACATCTAAAAACATCTGCATCACTTAATGCCAGATTCAGAAATGACAAGGGATGCCCAATAAATATGGAGCCACCAAAAAGGAATGTAGACTGTTTTGGTCTGGATTCCTTACCACGTGAAATGGGGAAAAGTCGGCCACTTCAAAGGCCAGAAAAGTATCTTACTAGTTTCCTCAATCTTCTTGTATATCCAAAAAACTCAGCAATCATTAACAACCAGAAATAAGAAGCTCCCCAATAGTCACTTGGCACGGCCACCTCTTCCCTTCAGCCACCTAGGCTGGTGGTGGCCTGCTGAGGCCACAGGCGCTGCAGCAGCCCTGCCACTCCCGCAAGGGCAGGAGCGTCCTCTGCCATCTCCTCCCCAGGCAGCTCCCGGGCGGCAGCGGCAAGGTCCGAGACTTCAGCGGGCCCCGCATCGCCCCCCCAATCTAAAGAGGCTAGGCGACCACGGGCCTCCCCGCCCTCCCCCGCGCAGCGCCGCGTTCCCGAGCCCGTCTCCACACCACAGGAAGTCTCCAAACACTGCGGCAGACAGGCGGAGGCAGGCCAAGGGAGAGGAGGGCGCTCTACGCTCCCAAACCCACACCCCACGGCCCCGGGACCCCGGGAGGGGCGCGCGGCACCCCCGCCCCCACCCGGCCCGGATCCGGGGACGCGGCCGCCGCCCAGCCCCGCCGAGTCAGCAGCCCCCGGCCCCGGGCGCAGGCGGCGGCCGACTGACACTTGAGAGAGTGAGAGCGGAATCACATGACAGTCCGGGCCACACGCACTTTCTCCCACATGCACGGCCCACACCCCCCACACACCGCCACGGACCCTCCGCGTCTCTCCCGCGGCCGCAGCACGGGGCGGAGGCGCCGGCGGTTGCGGCCCAGGTGGGGGCGGCGGTGACGGTTGGGCGCAGGCCGGCGCGGCCCGGCGGGCAGTTGGGTGTTTACCTTGATGCACCGCGACGCTGCAGCCGTGCCCGTCGCAATAAACCAGCGGGTTCTCGGCCCAGCCTCTCTCGTCTGAGCAAACGCAACAGCCTCCAATCATCTCCTTCATACTATGGGAGACCTCGTCCTCCAGTGACACGGGCCGGTCGCTAGAGACCATCTAAGAGGGAGTTGGGGGGGACCATTAAAAAACACATGCAAGCCGATTAGTGCTTCCCCCCCACACACAACCCCCCGCGCCCGCCCCGGCGCCCCCCGCCCGGCCCGGCCGCCCACCCCTCGCTCACTCGGGCTTTGCCGCTCAGTCACTCACGTTCCGCACAGGAGTCAGGAGCCATGTCCTTGCTGATTCCCCCCACCTCCCCTCCACCGCCTCCTCCGCCTCCTCCGCCTCCTCCTCCTCCGCCTTGGCGTCTTCCCTCCCCACCTCCACCCGACCGCTAACGCGGGCGCCCGGAGAGGGCACACATAATCAAGTAGGCCTCCGCACAGGCGCACTGGGGGGGCTCCCGCTGGGCCAGGGTAGCAGAGAGGGAGGGGAAGGGGTCTGCGCTTCCTCCTCCGAGCGTCACTCCGCGTGCGCGCCCGCCCTGCGGCGGGCGTGAGGGAGGAGGCCGGGGCGAGGCGAGCCCTGCGTGCGCGCCGCCGCGGCCGGCCGGCGCCTCCAGCCTACCTCCAGGGCCCCGTCCCCTCCCCCGCGCGGCTCGCCGCCGCCGCGGTGTGCTGGGGGAGGGCGCGAGGGGAATCGGCGGCGCGCGGAGGCCAGAATGAGCCGACGCGAGGGCGCGGGGGCGCGCACGCGGGGGTGGGGACGTTGGGGCCGCCCTCTGCAGCGCCGGTGACTCGGGCCGCGTGTGCGCGTCGGGAAGAGGCCTGGGAGGCGGCCCGGAAGGCAGACGCCCAGGGCGGGGAAAGGGTTTTCTCAGTCTCCCAAGAAGACTCTCCGGGGGCATCATCTCCCTGCCGTGGGAACCTACCTGCCGGCCTTTTCCTCCAAGACTGGCCTGTGGGTAACGAGGGTGGGGCGAGTGTGCCAGCTCCCATGAAGGGTGTAATGAAGCATGGCTTCCTGCAGTTGGCCGCGCTAACTTCACAGTGCTGCCGCAGCCTCTCCACCCATTAAATTCACGTCCTGGACTCTTCCCAAAGTTCACCCGCTGGAAGTGCTACCAAATCTGACGCCCATTTACGCACTACATGGGCCCCAGTGACAAACAAAAGTACATCACAGGCTGAAGGTCAAAAGCCCGGTTTAGGGCTGCACTCCGAGAGGGAACGCCAAGGCTCTCCTCAGCTCGCTGTGCAAGACAAATGGTTGTTTATCAGGAATTAACAGTATAATGTGATGATCTGGAAAATGCAGTTGTACTACACCAAAAGGAAGAAGGAACTCCAGCCCTCCTAGTCAGTCGCTAAAAGATAGATAACACCATCAGACAGTGGCGTCTAGTTTTGATGGAGGATTCCTCTGATACGGTCTTTTCTCCAAATTTATACTTGGAAATGTGAGATCATTTAAAAGTGGCAGAAAGATGAGAGCTCCCACCTCACAAACAAATAGAAAATGGATTAGGCCTATCTGCATAGATTAATTAGCTGGATACTGGGCAGTTTTAAACTGTAAAATCTTCCATTGTCGCCCCATTATGCATCCATATAAGCCCGATATTGATGTTTAAGCAAAAAATGTCTAAGAAAAGTTTAACATGAAATCAGAATTATGTATATATTGTTTAAATGACAAGCCCAGTTAAAAGGCGAATTCATGGCTTTTAATTAATACCTTGCAGGTACAAAATGGTTGTTTACCAGGAATTCCCAACATAAATGTGCTGATCTGGAAGATGCACTTTCGCAATGCTAAAGCATAGAGAACCCCAGTTCTCCTAGTCGGCCACCAAAATATAATATAATGATTTGGACTTTAAAAGCTTTCTAAATGTTCTTCTGATACAGGGGGGAAGAAAAGGTAGCATGGCGTTTTTCCATTTCAAATTAATTGCTAGAAATCTGTTTAAGACTGATAATACGTATACAGCACAATCAAAGCATATATAGCAAATAAATTCCGATGTTTTAAAAGCTGAGATATACAAAGTAATGGCAATTAAAATGTACACTAAAACACAATGAGAATTCACAGTACATTTAGAAAAGGTGACAAGAAGACTACATAATGCGAATTCTTTTTTGGGATCTGACAACAATTTATACATTTCTGGACATATAATAATTATATTTTTAAACTATCTTAATTTATCAAACTAAAACGTCCTTTAAACAAAACTATACTGTTTTGTGTATCTTAACCATATATTTTATCTTCAGTCTTATACAAAAGATACCAGTTCAATATCCAAGTCCTCTTCCGACTCTTAGCATAGAGCAATTTTGAGTTAAAAATCAATGTGAAACTTCCCCTCCCAAACACTGCAACCAAGCATTTATGCACTAAATTATTTAAAAATACATTTGTTTTATTTTTAATGCATTGGAGCTTAGTTCTTGTGAAAGAATTAATTAACACGTAAAGAAGGATAGGTACCTTACCCTATTCTTTAACACTTAAATGTAAGTAAACACTTGCTATTTCCTAAACAAAACAAAAAAAAAATCATTTGTAAGACGATTCAGAAATTTTTAAAAATAGGGAAAATACACTATTTCATAATAGGCCTGTATGTAAATAATAGTATCTAGAACAAATTTTGTTAAAGATGTATACATAAGTGTTCACAAATTATAATTCAATTATATAAAATTGATTTTAAGATATGGATGAAAATCATAAGAAAAAACATTAGAGTAAATAACTCATTTTCATTTTCACTCGTGAACCAGATATCAAATTTTTTCTTATATATCTAAAGTATAATATTTAGTATAGTTCTATAAAATGTTAAGTGAAAAAGAAGAAAAGCAGACAGTATGAAATGGTAAAACAGTTCAAATACGCAGTTAATGATTTATTCATTCAGAAAGTATTTATTGAACATTTACTGTGTACTGGGAGCTCTTTTGAATATAGGGAATATAGCAATGAGAAGGCTGTATTTGTCCTTTGTGAGACATATATATAGTGTCACATATGCAACAATTGGCTGAATATGCTAATTTTCCTACCTCAGAATGGATAAAACTTGTAATTACACTGGCAGAATTGTTAAAGTTCAAGTATGCTTTTTAAAATACATAATAGTATAAAAATAAATTACCATAGGATTTATAAAATGACTTTGTGAAAAAGAACAATTTCATTCATAAAATTATGTTACCCTAAAATCTGATTTCATATTCTCAAAATATCTTTCACAAAAGTATATGTAGTACCTCTAGGATAAAACAAAACCCTGTTTTCTCTAAATATTGCTTCATATAACAGCAGCCAACTCAGTACTAGCTCATCTGTTTCTCCAAACTAATCATCTGAGGCAAACCACAAAAATCCCAAGTAAAGTATTTTATGATGTAACCTCTAACCCTACTACAATGGGAAGATGTATTTTTGCTCTATGGGTAATATATCTTCCAATAATTTCTTTATTCTTTAATGTAGGCACCAAATTTCTGTATTTGCTTTTCCATAATTATTTACATAAGTAGATACTATGAAAGCAATATTTAAAACCATATTCAGTTCAGAGGTTAGTACTATTCATATTTATCTCCTTTTTAAATTAAAGTTTTATCTGCCTTCTGTTTGTGCATATCATATTTAATCTGTTATACCCATTGCCAAGGTATATATATTTCTACAATGGGGTATAGAAACTGAAGTCTGTTTCTACATGAGGTTTATTTCTGTAACGCTGAGACTAGGCACATTTTCCTGAACTCAAATTCTTGACTTCCATAGCGTATAAAATTCTATATTGGCTCTGCAACTAAGTTTTTTAAACAAAAAGCAATTAGAATTCCTGCATCTGCTAAACCTCATTGGAGTCTATAATCTTGTTTCTAAATAAATTAGTTGGAAAACTCAAAACGACACTGTCTTATGATCTGTGCAGACTTTCAGATATATCCTCTTTTACATAAAGGAATCTCTGTTTTTTGTTTTCCTTGCTTGGTATCCAAGAGTTTTTACCTTTTACATTAAAAGTTTTTTATGAGCCATATATTTATGCTAGTATGATTAAAATACTGAAGTGTTTCTGAAACTAGCTTGGTTATTTATGTCACCATAAATCAATACTGTGTCTTTATATATGCAAAACCACCATGGCACCTATATCATGGAGTACTATTCGAAATTTCATATAAAAATATTCTTTGCAATTATGTTTTGAATTGAGATTCTGTTAATGGCTTTTTCAAGAATCTATTTAATTAAACTTGTTAATCTTACTAGGTGATTATTTTTTACTCTCTATCACACCTAGCAAGTGTCTTACACGTAGTAGGTCCACAGTAAATGTTTGTTTAATGTCCTAAATTAGTGTTTAAAAGCTAATTACACTCTGAGCTTTATTCTTCAAAGTAAAGCAAGATTTGATTTTGTATATACAATTGAATTTCTAAGTAATGGTTAATAAAAATGTTCAGATGAATTGCTTTCTCTGAAGATTTTCAACAGTTGAAATTTTTATCAGTTTTTATTTACCAGATAGTTTAGAATTGACTATTCTAAATAGCCCTCAAATGTGTACCACCTTTACATGTAATTGTCATCACTTTATTACAAAACAGCCTCCAACTTAGAATCAATCATAATTAATATTGTTGTTAGATACACTTGATTTTTTTTTAAGCGTGGTAGGTAATTCTGAAATTTAAATTGCGTGTAATCTAAATAAAAAATCTTCTTAAGATTCAAGGTTTAATATTTAAAAGGTTTGGTTTGGTTAATGGTGTTTGGCTACAGAGGTATTTCTTTTCTATAAAACTGATATTGATTGGCTGTATTTACATTTTTTGAGCAAAACACCATGTAATTATCAATGAAAAAATACTATCTAAAAGCTGCCTTTAGGTATTCTAGATGTTACATAAACATCTAGAATAAACTAAGGATTCATAGTTGAACTATTTTTTCCAGGATACAGCAATACTGAAAGGTGTTTACTTTGACTTTTCAGAGTATCATCAATACAGTGTAAGAGTAGTATTGTAAGGTCCATGTTCTCATTTTTTATTGATACTGAAGATCTGCATCTCTGTTATAATTAAAGTGTGATTAAAGAGACATATTTAGGTGTCTGTTTATAGGCTACAATAAGATTATCTAAGTGAAAAGATTCTGGACGTGGAAAAGAGGAAAATCAATTTTTGAAATGGAAGAGAACCTTGAGAGAAATGCAACATATTTTAGACCAAGAAAAAATAAATTAAACTGAATTTATAAATACTATTTGGACCAAAGAACATCACTTTTTAAGATTTAAACATTTTCCTCTCCAAAAGGGGCCACTGCTTACCAAATCCAGAAACAAGCCCAAGAATATGTTAATTAGTGCATTGTGTCCCAGAAAGAATGAGACTGACAAATTCATTTTTTATTCCTTCGATTAATAAACTGTTTGTCCAGTACATCTTAGATTTTTAAAATCTATAATCTGTATATTTACCTCTTGAAACTGTACAGTAACAGTGCCAAGGACCAACATGACTTCATAGGGTGAATCTTATGAAGCTTAACATTCCTGGCGAATTTAAACACACAAGCCTCGGATCACTTTTCGTCAGCCTTTTTTTTACCGTGGTGCTTGAGAGCCAGAAGGTAGGTAATTTTTATATGGTGGCACTTTACCCCAATTAAAAAAGCAATGATCGTTGGTGCAAGCAGAAGTGGAAAATATAATGACATAAAATTAAAGAAAGGCATCACAAAGACTGACCAAGAATGCCACTTGTCCCTCTCCATCCCCACCCCCATTCATGCCCCCTTTCCGTCCATTTGTTTTTCTCACAAGAATATCATGACTTCTAAGAATATTTTACTTTAAATGAAACAAAAAATGTCTGAAACAGTGAATGATGTAAAACGGTTCACCTACTATCAACTACATAACATATAAACATGTGAAGCTATTCGAAATATTCAAAGACTTATAAATAAAAAATGTGAATTGAGGGGAAATGTGGGAGGATGAGTGTGAAACGAATGAATAGACTGAAAATACTTGATTTTCAACACCGATTTTTTTCTGTTCAAACCTTTTCATAGTTACACCTCAAATGATTTCTTAAATAAAAATTTCTCCCTATACCTCGAAATAACTGAATGATTTCCATGAGGAAATGCAAGTTTAGAAAGAAGACCCGCAAAATCAAAGTGTTAAAATGCAAGCAACTTTTATAGCATTTCAAATGCAAAAACACAACCCACACTACCTTTAACTGACTCTTAAGGGGTCTTTTCAAAGATGCTATTTATGAGCATCATCTGTTAACTTCTTCCTTGTAATTCAAAACTCTGTCAAATGATGTTTTCATGATGACGTGTAAATATTCCATTAAAGATCAATTCT